TTGGGAGTAAAGTTGAGTCAATTTCAAGGGCCATTATATGCTTCCTGGTAAGGGATCCTGCTCCGAAGGATCAGCCGCCTTTTATGGTGACTTATGTTTATTTTTCTAATAAAATTGAACAATAGATATTTAACTCTTTCATCTAACTAGTATTACAAGTAGGAAACAATATTTATTTACTTTACCTCTTAAAGATTAAAAGAAAAATCATATCAAAACTACGAAGTTTTAATAAATTTTTATTGAAAAAAATTAAAATATTTTATTTTTAAAACATGAATTAAAATATATATTTTTTGTTATTTTCTATAATACTTTATTAAAACTACATAGTTTTGAAATAATTTTTTTCTTAATATTTAAGAAAGAAGACGGACAAACACTAATCATTTATAAGTATTTGTAAATTTTTCTATTTACAAATAACAAGTAAATACCAACGACTTGTTAATTCGAGTAGAAGGGATTCGATTCTCCTTAAGTAAGGTTTCGAATTCAAGTCTTATGAACGAAGAAACATGTACTGGAAGAGTTTCTCCCTAATGTGATCCAACGCGACTTGATTCTGGATTAGTCGATATCCAATGTGATTATTAGATACCAGAAAGTTAATAAAAAAAAAACAAATAAATCTCTATGCATAATTAAGAATCGAGGATATGATCCACTAAAATTAAAATTATTTACACTCAAATGACTATAAAAAAAGTTCAAATATTTGTATTTCATCATGATTCGATCTATTCACTCCTTAGAAGCTTGTGTTTTTCAAGGATCGTGTGGCTCACAATAGAAGGAGAGGTAGCAACCCTCTTAATTAATAAGTATTCCTCAAAAAATTAATCAAGAAAGTACTACTACCGAGGGAACCTAATTAGTCAAGAACAGACTCTTCTTTCTTGCTTGTACCATAATGAAGCAATTTCCAGCTTGGTTTAAATATTACAATGGAGGAATCTCAAGGAGCTACAGAATCAGCAGCATCTGGGGATAGTAACTTGGAACATTAATTTTGCAATTTTATCATTTCATTCTTATTTTAAGATTTGTCTAACTTATATCTTAATCCGTACCCTTAGAACAAAGATTAAGATTAATTAATTCAAATATTTTTAATTAATTTCACATAAATTTTTATATAAGAAATAAAATATTATATTATATTATATTTTTATATATTATATTATATATAATTTGAATCTTATATAAAAATTTATGTAAAATTAATTACAAATACGATAACAAATAAGGATTAACCTGCGCCCAACTCAGAAAATTCCCTCATTTTAAAAACTTAGTATAACAAATCAAGACAAAGAAAACTTCAAAGGAAAACAGTTCTTTATGTTTGTCTTGGACTTGAGCAATTTAGATGAAAATGGACCGAACCAATTCCCAATACAGAGCGTTAAGATTTATTATA